GGGGTTCAGGGCTTAAGGTTTTGGATCAACTTTGTCTCACTCGTCCAGCCCTCCTACCCCTTACTCCCCAAGGATGACATCGATATCTGTGGGGTCAGCAGAGCATGCACAATGTCACTTTCGATACTATTCCACCTATATGCCGGAACCTCATGAGCGACATGCATATTGAGCCGAGGGCTTAGATCACAGAAGTCCACATGCAGCCCAAACATCTTCAACCGCGACGCACGCCAACGACTAAACGCCATGAACACCCTAGAAGCAGCAACTAAAACCAACTCAAACCCTAAACCCTAAGCCCTAAACCCTTGCCCCAACTCCTCAAGCCTGATAAGGCCGTTAAGTCTCGTTAGCATAGCAACGGGCGGGGCCTTCCCGCAGGGAGCTTACTCTTTGGAGTGCGCCTTGAGATGATTAAAGACCTCTAAATGGCCCGAAACCCTATACTCCCCGAAAAGCCCAAAACCCCGCACCCCTCAACTCCTGAACCCTAACCCCAAACCCCCCAAACCCCTCAAACCCTAAATGAAGCCCTAAACCCCAAAACCCTAAACCCCAAACCCTACATCCCAAAACCCAAAGCCCCAAAACCTCAAAGCCCGAAACCCGAAAACCTAAGCCTCAAGAAGCCCCAGAACTCGAAATCTTAAAGCCTAATCCCCAAAACCCCAAACCCTAAACCCACAACCCGATACCCCAAGCCCTAAACCCTAAACCTCTAAATCCCTAAACCGCAAGCCCTACACCTCAAACCCTAAACCCAAAACCCAAAGCCCCAAGCCGTAAAACCTAAACCCTAGACCCCAGGGCCTAAACCCCAAACCCCCAGCCCTGAACCTTAACCCAAAACCCGTAAATCCCTATACCCGAAACCCGCAACCCCTAAACCCCTACACCCCTAGACCCTAAACTCTAAACCCTAAACCCTAAACCCCTAACCTTCAACCTCAAGACGTAAACCCTAAGCCCTAAACCCTAAGCCCTAAGCCCTAAACCCTAAACCCTGAACTCTAAGGCCTAAACCCCAAACCCTAACCCTAAACCCTAAACCCTAGACCCTAGACCCTAGACCCTAAACCCTAAACCCTAAACCCTAAACCCTAAACCCTAAACCCTAAACCCTAAACCCTAGACCCTAAACCCTAACCCTAAACCCTAAACCCTAAACCCTAAACCCTAAACCCTAAACCCTAAACCCTAAACCCTAAACCCTAAACCCTAACCCTAAACCCTCAACCCCAAAACAGGGGGCCCCGGAGCTGCGCAGCGCCGCACGGAGATCGACGCAGGGAGGCGACTGGTGGAAGACGGGGGTTTAGGGTTTAGGGTTTAGGGTCTAGGGTTTAGGGTTTAGGGTTTAGGGTTTAGGGTTTAGGGTTTAGGGTTTAGGGTTTAGGGTTTAGGGTTTAGGGTTTAGGGTTTAGGGTAGGCGCTCGATAGGCTTTGAGGGTTTCAGGTTTGAAGCAACAAAGCCTTAGGCCCTAGGCTTTGCATTTGTTACCCTGTAAGGGTCCATGTTCGTAGATCGTACTCTCATGCACATGGTCCTGAGGGGTGAATGGTTCCTAAGGTGGATTTCTTCAGCTTTTCCTGACCTAGGTCTGGAATAGATAGGTATCCTGCATCTCCACAACCAACACACTATCCTCATTGTCTTGATGAGGCAAGACCCTAAACCCGAAACCCTAAACCCGAAACCCTAAACCCCAGACCCTAAACCCTAAACCCAGCTTATGGGCACACTCTCGATTGCCTCAGCCCTTCTCACGGAGAATTGGGCTACTCGCCTTGACCCTGTCCAAGGCAGAGGCCGCAGACTGCGGTGTAGGGTTTAGGGTTTAGGGTTTTAGGGTTTTAGGGTTAAAAGGTTTTTGGTTTAGGGCTTCTAGGGTTTTAGCTTTCTAGGGTTGTAGCGTTTTAGGTTTTTAGGGTTTTCAAGTTTTTGTGTTTTAGGGTTTTAGGGTTCAGGGTTTAGGCTCGACACGAGTGGGTCACTGCGCACGCAGAGCCGCGCTGAGGCATCTAAGCCTAAACCCTAAACCCTAAACCCCGTCAGTGCATGCCAGAGCGGTGGGGCGGCACTCTACATCGACCAAGGCATTCAGGCTCGTACCCCTAAGGTTGTACCCCTAAAGGCCCTCAAATGCTCCTAGTATGGCCCGACTATTCCCTTAGGGATCCTGAATAAGGGCACAACCTTAAGGGTCCATTCTAGAAGCCCTAGAATCGATGACGGTGCCACATGCAGCACAGATGCATGGGCATAGATCGCAGCCCTGCCATAACCCTAAACCCTAAACCCTAAACCCTAAACCCTAAACCCTAAACCCTAAACCCTAAACCCTAAACCCTAAACCCAACTCAGGACTGCAAGTTGGGGTGGTTTAGGGACTTTTCCGCCTTTTTTGTTTTAGGTTCCCTTTCCCTTAAAGAGTAGCCAACCACAAAAAGTGTGCCCGTCTTCTACTCTGGTTACTGGGCTGCCAAGGGGGTTTAGGGTTTTGGGTCTTGGGTTTGGGTTTAGGCCTTTAGGCCTTTAGGCCTTTAGGCCTTTAGGCCTTTAGGCCTTTAGGCCTTTAGGCCTTTAGGCCTTTAGGCCTTTAGGCCTAAACCCTAAACCATAAACCCTAAACCCTAATTAAGCCATTAGGCTTTGGGGCTTAGGGTTTTTGAGAGCTTGGAAGCTGAAAGGCTTGGCTGGTCCTCGGGACCTGGGGCTCAGGGTTTGAGCGTTTAGGATTGGGGGGCTAGGGATCTTGAGAAGCATTGCCCGTTATAAGCCTGAACCCCTAAACCTAAGGTCTTGCAGCTTCCTAAACCCTAAACCCTAAACCCTAAACCCTACACCCTAAACCCTAAACCCTAAACCCTAAACCCTATGTGGGCCTTCAAGTAGGCCACTCTCGGGCTGCCGCGGTACATGCCGCGATCGACTCCACGTGCCACTGCGACGCTCGGTGGAGATGTAGGCTTTGTGGTGCTTTACTGCAACTTTAGATCCTTAGCCTTTTTGGGTTTATTGGGTTTCTTAAGAAGGCAGCTAAAACTTAAATCCATAGCTACCCTCCTAAGTGCAGCCAAGATGTAGGTATTTGCGTCCCAAACAAGTATTGTTTCAAAAGCAACGACTTTTCTTGGTCAATTCAATATTCAGTGGTTCGTTTGTCATGCATTGAAAATTTTAGTTCGCCTGAAGTATGAAGGAGTCTTTGAAAATATATGCTTTAGAACAAAAAATTGCAAGAAATACACACTGAAAAATCGCAACATTCCAAGCAAAAAGAGAGAGATAAAATAATCACAACACAGAACACATGTCACATGTAGGATGTACACCACTTAGTTCATTAAGGATCACATTGCAATTGATCAGGTAGGGTTTAGGGTTCAGGGTTCAGGGTTTTATAGGGTTTTAGGGTTTTAGGGTTTTAGGGTTTTAGAGTTTTCGGGTTTTCGGGTTTTCGGGTTTTAGGGTTTTAGGGTTTTAGGGTTTTAGGGTTTTAGGGTTTAGGGGTTTTTTCGGGGTTTAGGGTTTTGATTTTTGTGGGCTTCTGCATGTTTTCGTACTTTTTTGCTGTGGGCTTGTTGGGTTCTAGGGCTTCAGAGCTTTTCGGGGTTTTTGTTGGTTCAATTTGGGTCTTTTGGTGTTTAGGCCTTCAGGGCTCTTAGGATTTTAGGTTCCTTGGGGGCTCTATGGGCAGAGGTGTTGAAGGTAAACCCTAAACCCTAAACCCTAAACCCTAAACCCTCAACCCTAAACCCTAAACCCTAAACCCTAAACCCTGAACCGCTTATAGGGATAGAGATCCTTGAAGCCTACCCCAAGCCCCAAACTCTGAACTCTGAGCCGCTAAATCCCCAAGCCCTCAGCCCTGCCCTAACCCCTTGCTCCGATCCCACCCTAAACCCTAAACCCTAAACCCTAAACCCTAAACCCTAAACCCTAAACCCTAAACCCTAAACCCTAAACCCTAAACCCCTAACCCTAAACCCTAAACCGCAAGGTTTAGTTCTGATGGTTTTCGGTAGTGCTGTAGCCGGGGCGGATGGAGCTTCGTGGTTGAATGGCTGGGCTGATAGGGCTGCTGGTGGAAGACTCGTACCCCTAAGGTTGTACCCCTAAAGGGGTCCCGTCAACATATTCCTAATATGGCCTTTAATTTTCCTTCTAAAGTCTTTAAACGGGGTCCCCAAAACCGAAGGGCACAACCTTAAGGGTCCAAGGTGCAACCCCTAGAAAAGATGTCTGCTTCAAGCCCACTGGCCTGCTACCGGAGCTGAAGAAAGGTTTAGGGTTTAGGGTTTAGGGTTCAGGGTTTAGGGGCCATGCCCTAAAGCCCTGAAGCCCTACAAGTACGGGCCAGGCCCCCTTGCTGTACTAGCTTCAGTTAGGGGAGTTATAGCCAAAACAGTAAGACTGATAACCCAATTTAGGGTTCTTATAACCCTTACTAGGGGGGGGGGGGGGGGGCTACATTCCTGTAAGCCCTAACCCTTGCAAGCACGAATGCCCAAATGCGTCAAGGAAAATGTTCCCAAGCAAAGCCAACCAGTCTGCATTTCCCAGAGAATGACAGGAAGCCCCATGAGAAGACGACGGTTCTTCATGTACAAAATGGTCACTCCTCTAAAACGTGGCCCTTTTGGGGGGTCCCTATGATCAGGCGGCCCGAATGATTTAGGGGTACCTAAAGGGGGACCATAATTAGCTAGGATGCACAGCAGTAGTACCCTTATTCCCTTTTTTGGGGGTTTAGGTTCCCTTATAAACCCCTTTAAGCAAAAAAGGGCACCCTTTTTAAGCCTAGGTTACCGGGCAGCCTAGTGTTCCCATAAAAATGAGCAACCCCAAAAAGGGTACCCTTATTCTAAGATGGTTACTCGGCTACCAAGCTAAAGGGGGACCAGAATTGATACTGGCCCCTAAACCCTAAACCCTAATCCCTTTAAGAGCACTGACGTCAAGGCCCTTAGCCCCGAAGCTTCCAACGCACGCCATGGCGGGCGGGTACGCAGCTACGGCGGGTGCCAAGTTCAGGAGGCGCTCCGAGGGTTTTGGGTTTAGGGTTTAGGCTTTAGGGTTTAGGGTTAGTTCCATGCGCCCTTAGTATATAGTCCCTTACCTCCCTTCAAGGGTTCTGATGTATGGGGTATGGGCGCTTCGTTTGTATAGGGTATATACGGGGTAGCCTTCCAAGGGCCCATACTCAGGGACCATGAAACTACCCTAAACCCTAAACTCTAAACGCTAAACCCTAACCCCAAACCCTAAACCCTAAGACTACCCTTGGAGGCTCAGTGGTGAGCCGATTCCCTGCAGCATCCCCGCCAGGTGCACAGCACCTGTGCCCGTCGTTGTAGTTCCATTTTGTTTGGATTAAAGGGTTTAGGGTTTAGGGTTTAGGGTTTAGGGTTTAGGGTTTAGGGTTTAGGGTTTAGGGTTTAGGGTTTAGGGTGTAGGGTTTAGGGTTTATTAACAATCTTGAGCTTTGTTTTGGGTGTCGTTGTATTAAACAAAAGGTCAACCGGTTCATTCGCTGGGTTTTGGAGAAGTAAGGTAAACCAAGCGAGGCCCATACTGGCCAAGTGCGTGGGTGGCTTGCATGTGGCCGAGTACCGCCTTTCATCGTTTCTTCGAGCTGGGGGCGATTGGAGCCCTACAGAACCCCGAAGCACTGATGCCCCTAAAGCCCTGCAAGTTGCAAGTAGGGGCCCCCTAGTTCTAAATAGAGTTATGAGGGCCCTAGATTGGGTTGCAGATAAAAGTCTTACTAGATAGGTGAGAATTCTCCTAGCCAACGGGTAGTATGGTAAGAGGGCCCCTAAACCTCTACACCCTAAACCCTAAACCCTAAACCTTAAACCCTAAACCCTGAACCCTGAACCCTAAACCCTAAACCCTAACTCAAAAAGAGGTGGCGGATCCTTGCGGCTCATTTCCGAGTCAGGCCGCTTTTTGGAGGGCCACGATGAGATTCCGGAGGAAGGCGGGCTTAGGGTTTAGGGTTAAGGGTTTAGGGTTTAGGGTTTAGGGTTTAGGGTTTAGGGTTTAGGGTTTAGGGTTTAGGGTTTAGGGTTTAGGGCTTGTGCATTGCTAACGAAATTTTCTTGTACGTAGGGTTTAGGGCCACGGTTGTAAAAACAACCTCCTCAGAATTTTTTATTTAGGGCTTATATACAAGTAAGGGCCCCATTAATATACTAACTTTAATTAAGGAGTTACAACCTAAATAGGAAGACTTATAACCCAATTTCGGGGCTTTATAACCCTACACATAACTAGGGGGGCCCTACTTGTAGGCCCAGGGTTGAAAAGCCTGCCCACAGCCTCTGAAGTTTGTAGCGTAAGAGGTTGAGAACAGGTGGGAGGTGCACGGAGGCTGGAGCCAATCCACGTCATGTGTGTAAAAAGGGAGCTTCGCTGAGCTTCGGGGCACAAGGGGTTTGCTGCAGAGTAGCTCGAAAGCGTGTCGCTAGGCGACCCCTCCGTGTTTTGGGGCGGGCGGGGGTTGAGGGTTACGAAGGGCCAAGTTTTGCTGACCCATGTACCCCAGACCCGAAACCCTAAACCCTAAACCCCAAACCCACATTGTGTCGCACAGGCAACGTGCAGGTGCAGGTGGCAAGCATCGCTCCAGGAGCCTGGTTTACCCTGTACAGCAGCGCCTTCGCAGGATTTGACGAGGCGGGTTTAGGGAGGTGGGTTTAGGGTTTAGGGTTTAGGGTTTGGGGTTTAGGGTTTGGGGTTGGGGGTTTGGGGTTTGGGGTTTGGGGTTTAGGGTTTAGGGTTTGGGGTTTAGGGAGCAAGAGTCAACATCAGGCCCAGATAGGTGCGAAAGCCCCGAAGCCCTTAAACCCCTAAGCCTCTGAACTCTCAACCCAAAGCCCAAACCCACTAAGCCCTCACAGCAACCAAGGCCTGCAAATTGTTGTGACGCCTAAGCTTCGATCAAAAAGCAGTGCCAACCACCCTCACACCTGATAACCCTAAACCCTAAACCCTAAACCCTAAACCCCTAAACCCTAAACCCTAAACACCTGAAGCATCTTCAACCTGGAAGCCCTAAACCCTTAAACCGTACTTGCACCTATACACCCCGCAGAAGAAGCTTAAAGGGTACCTTAAAGCTTAAGATGCGGGTATCTTAAACGGGCACTTGCGCAAGGCCTCTAACCCCTCCACCCTAAACCCTAAACCCTAATTCCTAAACCCTAATAAACCCTAAACCCTAAACCCTAGACGATGCTCAGCTTGTGATGGTGGCTCCCATGAAAGGTGGCTCTCCGCGAAGCTCTAACCCAGGCTTGGCCGGGTGATGGCCCAGAAGGCGACGACAGCTGCTTTGGGGACCAAATGAACAGGGTTGGGGTTTGGGGTCTGGGGTTTAGGGTTTAGGGTTTAGGGAAAAAGCTTCCTTTTTTTATTGGTGAGTGTATATACTGGGTGTCCTGTTGGGGACACAAGGAAGATGAACCCCACTTCAAATGAACCCGAAAAGGGCCCAAATTGTATGACAAGGTTTTCCTGGCACCAGGGGCATGTTAGTTTGAAATGACTCGACAGGGCAGGGAGATTTCTGGGCCGAGCCGGTTTAATGGGGTGTCTGGGTAGCATGGTTTAGTTTAGGGTTTAAGTTTAGAGCTTAGGGGTTAGGGCTTAGGGCTTAGGTCTTCGGGTATAGGGGTTAGGGTTTAGGGTTTAGGGTCGAGCTTTTAGGGTTTAGGGCGGGCCGAAACCCGACTAATGGCTGGGCTGGGCATCCATGAATCACGCATTGGGCATTGCCCAACAGAGGCGAGACTGCGTGCTAGTTCGGTCCAAGGGTTCAAGGGTGTAGGGTAAGGTTTAAGGGGTTTAGGGTTTAGGGTTTAGGGTTTAGGGTTTAGGGTTTAGGGTTTAGGGTTTAGGGTTTGGATCTGCATGGATGCGGGTTTTTGGGGTGTGGGCTGCTGGTGGCTACTCAAATCCCGCATTGAGGCGACTACGAAGACGTTTCTCGAGTTCGACCAGAGGCACGAAATTGCGAGAACACATGTTCTTTGCTCTACCCGCCCAAAACGGCCGAAACCTTTTAGAAAAAGGGCCTTTGGGCCCAAAAACCTCAGAGTAAGAACCTTTTAAAAAGGGCCTTTTTTGGCCCAAAAACCTCAGAATAAGAACCTTTTAAAAAGGGAATTTGGGCCCAAAAACCTCAGAATCAGAGGTCCTTGAAGCCTTAGGGGATAAGCATGGTGGCTACCACGTTGTCTCCCGAGCCAAGCCATTGGAAATTTTGTTTTTCAGGGTTTAGGGTTTAGGGTAATATTTGTCATTTGAGGTTCTATGGGGAGTATAGGCCCTGCAAATCCTAAGACCCTAAGCCCTCCATCCCAGCTTCTCTACATTGTTGTCCTTCTTGGGAGGGGGTACCCTAACTAGGATGCCCAGTAGTACCCCCTTATTCCCTTTTTGGGGCGTTTAGGTTCCCTTATCAACCCCTTGAAGCAAAAACAAAAAGGCACCCTTTTTTAGCCTAGGTTACTGGGCAGCCAAAGCGCCAAGGCCCAAACCTTCGGCTCCCCAGGGTTTCAGCAGGTGTGGCTTGAGGCTTGTGAGGCACGGTGAGGGCCGAAGCCCAGTACTTAGGGCTTAGGGTTTAGGGTTTAGGGTTTAGGGTTTAGGGTTTAGGGTTTAGGGTTTAGGGTGTCGGGTTTAGGGCTCAGGTTTTCTGAGGGTTGGGAGTCTTTTGGGTTCAGGGTGCAGGATTATTTGGGTTCAGGGTTCATGCCGGGTCTAGAAGGCTCGCAGGGTTTCTCGGGTTTAGGGTGGATCTGTAAGGGGGTCTACGAAAGTCGGGGACTAAAGTGACTAAAATAGACCCCTCAATCGTAGGATTCCCTGATAAGAAGGGCCCCAATATACCCTAAACCCTAAACCCTAAACCCTAAACCCTAAACCCTAAACCCTAAACCCTAAACCCTAAACCCTAAACCCTAATTTTAGAACCCATATTCTGGGCTCTGCCCTTCGGCCTCGGACATCGAACCTTCACAGGTTCACCTACTCACCCATCTATACTACCCCCAAAGTTCCCCCGCCATAATGACGGCTGCTTATTTACGGGGGAAACCTAGGGGGGGGGGGGGGGGTAGGTTTAGGGTTTAGGGTTTTAGGGTTTAGGGTTTAGGGTCTAGGGTCTAGGGTTTAGGGTTTAGGGTTTAGGGTTTAGGGTAGAGGGGGGTAGTAGGGGAACCCATGAGACCTGGACCTCAGGTACGGGACTGGCAAGATCAGTGCCAGCAGGCCGGTGGTGGAGGGAACCCTAAACCCTGCAAACCCTGCAAACCCTGCAAACCCTGCAAACCCTGCAAACCCTGCAAACCCTGCAAACCCTGCACCCTGCAAACCCTGCAAACCCTGCAAACCCTGCAAACCCTGCAACCCCTGGCCCTGAACGCTATTGAGGTGAACGCTTCAAGTCTACATTGTGGGCTGCTGTTAGGGTTTAAGGTTTAGTTTTGAGGGTTTAGGGTTTGGGATTGGGGGCTTTGCTTCTGACAACTGCCTCCACGCCCCCCCCCCCCCCCCCCCCCCCCCCCCCCCCCGACCCCACCCCTCTCGGACGCCCCGGGGAAACCCTAAACCCCAAACCCCAAACCCTAAACCTTAAACCCTGAACCCTAAACCCTAAACCCTAAACCCCAAACCCCAAACCCTAAACCCTAAACCCTAACCTAAACCCTAACCCCAAGCCCCAAACCCCAAACCCCAAACCCCAAACCCCAGACCCCAGACCCCAGACCCCAGACCCCAGACCCCAGACCCCAGACCCCAGACCCCAAACCCAACCCCAGACCCTAACCGGGCTTCCAAGTAGACCTCAGGTCCTCCGCCAGGCAGTGATCCAAAGCGCAGGCGAGTGGGCGGACTTCTGGACTTTCGGGCAAAGTGCCGACTCCTATGGTGATTCGCATCTGGGTAGAGTTTATGGTTCAGGGTTTAGGGGTTTAAGGTTTAGGGTTTAGGGTTTAGTTTAGGGTTAGGGTAGGTTGTGGTTTTCCTCTTTCTGTGGGTTTCAGTGGATCGGTATTTTTGCAACATTTCATCTTTTCCCTGTTGGTGGCCTTTCAGAGGATCTGACTTAGCAGCATCTCAGAGGTTTTTTGAGGGGCTGCCCTAAACCCTCAACCCTCAACCCTAAACCCTAAACCCTAAACCCCTACACCCTAAACCTTAAACCCTAAACCCTGTCAGGTATGTCCGCCCGCCATACCGCACCATGCCCCCCAGCGTGGACTTGATGGTCAATGACGTGAAGAGGTGTTGGTTCCGGTTTAGGGTTTAGGGTTTAGGGTTTAGGGTTTAGGGTTTAGGGTTTAGGGCTTATAGGGTTTAGGGTTTAGGGTTTAGGGTTTAGGGTTTAGGGTGTAGGCTGCAGGGTTTAGGGTTTAGGGCTTAGGACTTAGGGCTTAGGGCTTAGGGTTTCGGATGTTATGGTTTAGGGTGTAGGGTTTACAAAGGACCCCTCTACCAACAACAAACGTACAAATAAGATTCACAACGAAACAATGAGTCTTCAGTAGTACGAATACGAATACACAGAATGCGACGTTTTAGAGCAGAAAAAACCATTGTCAGAAATATTCACCTAGTGATGCACCATTTTTGTTTCAAGCGGCCTTCCCCTTCCGCCGGTGGCCCTAAACCCTAAACCCTAAACCCTAAACCCTAAACCCTAAACCCTAAACCCTAAAAGGTGGCAGGAGCTCCTGCTGACCCTGGAGGATGACTTTGCGCAGTTGCGCTCGAGGTGCGGTGGGCTGGGCTCCTGTGAGCACATCGAGACAGCCGTCGCCTTTCTGCTACGACATTCCCCGAAGCTTGGTAGCCCCTAAACCCTAAACCCTAAACCCTAAACTTTTAAACCCTAAACCCTAAACCTCTCTACCATATAACCCTAAATGTTAATACACTTTTTGGCGTTTCGACCCCCATTGTTCAGCACGAATTTGGCGTTTTGACCCGTCTGACCCGTTTGGCCCCCCCATTGTTCAGCACGAATTTGCCGTTTTGACCCGTCTGACCCATTTGGCCCCCCCATTGTTCAGCACGAATTTGCCGTTTTGACCCGTCTGACCCATTTGCCCCCCCCCAGTGTTCAGCACGAATTTGGCGTTTTGACCCGTCTGACCCGTTTCATTGTTCAGCACGAATTTGGCGTTTTGACCCGTCTGACCCATTTGGCCCCCCATTGTTCAGCACGAATTTGGCGTTTTGACCCGTCTGACCCGTATGGCCCCCCATTGTTCAGCACGAATTTGGCGTTTTGACCCGTCTGACCCGTTTGGCCCCCCCATGGTTCAACCCGTTTGGCCCCCATTGTTCAGCACGAATTTTGGCGTTTTGACCCGTTTGACCCGTTTGGCCCCCCATTGTTCAGCACGAATTTGGCGTTTTGACCCGTCTGACCCGTTTGGCCCCCCCATTGTTCAGCACGAATTTGGCGTTTTGACCCGTCTGACCCGTTTGGCCCCCCATTGTTCAGCACGAATTTGGCGTTTTGACCCGTCTGACCCGTTTGGCCCCCCCATTGTTCAACACGAATTTGGCGTTTTGACCCGTCTGACCCATTTGGCCCCCCATTGTTCAGCACGAATTTGGCGTTTTGACCCGTCTGACCCGTGTGATTGTTTGGCCTCTTGGTGCGTCTGAACGCGTCTGAACAGAAATTGAGAAAAAGCTTTATATTTCTTAATGGTATGGGATTCTTTGGGCGGGTGGGTTTTTTTCCGTTGCCTACACACACTGCTGGCCTAGTAAATGCTCGAACTTGAGATGCTGAACCCTAAACCCTAAACCCTAAGCCCTTTTGCCCCTTTTTGGGGTCCTGGGCTCCCTTGTAAAAGTGAGCAACCCCCCACAAAGGGTACCCTTATTGTAAGGTTTAGGGTTTAGGGTCTAGGGTTTAGGGTTTAGGGTTACTCGGCTACCAAGGAATTTCAGCACAGACGTGACATGGGTGATCGGTTTTGAGATGTGGTATCGGCCACTTGCGACGCTGGTACGATGGTACTTGAGCTCAGCGGGGTTCGAGGAATGTGACTCAGACCTTCTGGATTCTTCGTAGTAGAGTAGGTAACCTTTAGCGTTTTTGGGGTAAGATCATCCCCTTGTAGTCCCAAAGGCTAACCTTGAGTTCCCCCAGGTACTACCCTAAACCCTAAACCCTAAACCCTAAACCCTAAACCCTAAACCCTAAACCCTAAACCCTAAACCCTAAACCCTAAACCCTAAACCCTAAACCCTAAACCCTAAACCCTGGACAGCTAAGGATTGTGTGGACAATGCCATCACGGGCTTTGGCAGCTACACGGTGCCCAAGGATGCTCCAGTCGTCGTTAGGCGGCAGGCGGCCAAGCACCTCAAGCTACAAGTGCCGGAGGCTGAAGAATCTCCGGGTTTCGGGTTTAGGGTTTAGGGTTTAGGGTTCAGGGTTTAGGGTTTAGGGTGTAGGGTGTAGGGTTCAGGGTTTAGGTTTTAGGGTTTAGGGCTCCAATCCACAAACATACATGCCCTTGCGAACGAAAGGTCAGAAAGTAGGTGACTTAACGAAGCTCCCTATGGTAGTCAGATAGGCCCTTGTGATTCTTCAGAGTTTCCTTTGAGGTTTAAGGGATGGTTAGGTCTAGGAAACTTGTTCCGAACTCTGTCCCTGCCAACCTAGACAGCAGATAGGGCCCATAACTGCGCTTCTGTAGGGCCTAGGCCGGGCATATAGGTGCCTGGAGGTGAACTCCACAGCAGATTGGCTTCGAGAGCGGGTGAAGCTCAAGATGTCTCTGCAGAGTCCAGAGCCTGCGCTGGAGTGCGGCGATCCCCACCTCGACTTCATCGAGGCAGTCGACGCTTCCCGCAGCCCCGGACGGGCGGCGAAGATGAAATACGCCTTGGCCCGCTGCCGCGAGGATGCTTGGGCGCCTCTGGAGTTCCGGCATCTTGAGGAATGGCGCGAGTACATCCTGGGCCATCAGGTCCGCAAAGGCTTCCGCCAGCATGACGCATACGGGAAGCAATCCCGTGAGCGCTACCCTTTGGAAGACAAGACGAAAGCAACCTTCCTGTCACTACTGGCTGAGGCCAACACGGAGGAGCCCATAGAGCTTCGCGCCTGCCGGGCATATTTGGATGTCCTTTTTTTCCATCCGTTCGATGACGGAAACAGTCGCTTGGCGCGTTTAGTCTTCGACTTCGTGCTGACCCGAGATGGCTACACCCTGCAGAAGGTGGATCCTGTCTTCATGTTTTCCAAGAGCGCGAAAGATGGGGAGGGCGCGCTGAGGCTTGTTGAGATGGTAGGGAAGCTCTTAGCCAAGCAGCGCGTTGATTGGGACGCTCCGTTGAAGGCTTGGGTAGCTGCCCATCCGCATCCAGGACTCTCCTGGCAAGTGAACCGATGGTTCTGCAGCCAGAGCTTTCCCGAAGACGTCCCGCCTTGACTCGCCGGACGCGTGTCATGCATGTCGGCCTAGATGCTGGCAATACTCTGCCCCGGTGGCATTCAGGAGCCCCTGGGCGGGGGAACAGCTGCAAGAAATCTCGGCTGAGAGGAAGAGCCGGCTGGCAAGTGCACTTGCTTTAGGTCCTTAGGTGCTCCTTAACTTGCTGTAGGTCCTTAGGTGCTCCTTAAGGCTCTTCCTGTCCGTTCCACATCCCTTCCATTCCCTCCCGCTCCCCTGCACTGCCGTGCAGCAGGGGAACTGCGACGGTGGTATTGGACTTTTCTGCTCTCTCCACCTCGAACTTTCCCCAAACCTTCAAGCCTACACCACACAAGTAAAATCTCAGCCAAACGGTAGGCCAGCCTATCCTGCCAAGGCAACAAGAAGGGCGAGAGCCCAGTGACTTGCCTGCACTATGAACTACGCTTCAGGGCTACCCCTGGCTATAAGCCGGAGTTGGGGCTTATAAAGGTTTAGGGTTTAGGGTTTAGGGTTTAGGGTTTAGGGTTTAGGGTTTAGGGTTTAGGGTTTAGGGTAACATAATTTTGACGAGGTTGCTCTACAGGCCTCTAGGAAAGCACTGTGGGGGGGGGGGGGTCATACGTTCGCGGGATTCTCCTGCACGCTACGTAATGTCTAAAGTCTAAAGCAAGTATCCCTAAGGATCCAGGTACCTATGTAGTATATACTTGGGCCTTCTAAGGGGGTTCCGATATGGTATACTTTGGGGTGCAAGCATATACCATATGGGTACAAGCCGACGCACCTAAAGCCTAAGCCCTTCCTCTATATCCCCCTTGGGAATTATTTTTAATTTTTTATTTATATAAAACCCAAGAGGATATTAAAAAATATTAGTTTTATTAAGGTTCGAAGGGGAGTATAGTCCTGTTGGGGGACCTGACGCACATAAAGCCAACATCCCCGTCGGCATCAGGTCCAAGCATCTTCCTTTAGGCTTGTGCTGTTCAATAGGGTTTAGGGTTTAGGGTTTAGGGTTTAGGGTGGGAAAAGCATGGCCCCTGTAAACACTTCGCCATTCACACGCGTCACCGTGGCCCCACTTTGGGGGGTTTAGGTTCCCTTTTGAACCCCTTAAGCAAAAAGGGCACCCTTTTGAAGCCTAGGTTACTGGGCAGCCTAGTATATGGCTGTTTCCAAAAACAGAGGGGGTACGCCTTTTCTACCCTAAGTAGCATGGAATCCCCTTTTAGGGACCCCAAAAAGGCTACCCCCGTTTTCTGAAACCCCCAGATAGTTTATACTTGAACGACATCTGGGGCGATGCAAAGAAGTTAGCTGACAGCCCACGTAAAACTTTCAATCTGATGGAAGCTGCTGCTTTCAATATCAGGAGCAAGGAATGCAACACATAAACCTTGAACCCTGACCCTAAACCCTAAACCCTAAACCCTAAACCCTAAACCCTAAACCCTAAACCCTAAACCCTAAACCCTAAACCCTAAACCCTAAACCCCGACTGCATGTCTTCAAGCAAGGCCATGATCGCGCCGCGAGCTCAGCAGAGTCTTCAACTAGGATCCCTCTGCAGTGTCAGTCCCTAAACCCTAAACCCTAAACCCTAAACCCTAAACCCTAAACCCTAAACCCTAAACCCTAAACCCTAAACCCTAAACCCTAAACCCTAAACCCCGCATTCTATTTCGGGGGCTTAGGGCGTCCTTGCAAGGCTACTGAACAAAGCCGGGCATCGGAAGTCTGAGTAGAGACCTGCAATACCGTTAGGTGACTGTGCAGTGCTCAGGGTTTAGGGTTTAGGGTTTAGGGTTTAGGGTTTAGGGTTTAGGGTTTAGGGTTTAGGGTTTAGGGTTTAGGCTTTAGGCTTTAGGGTTTAGGGTTTAGGGTTTAGGGTTTAGGGTTTAGGGTTTAGGGTTTAGCGCCCGACAAGCAATGCTTGGTGACATTCGCAGCAAGTGGATGTTCACCATGTCGGCTCCGGTGGACCTTATGATCTCGGTACGCCTTTCGGACATTTTTCCCTTATTGGGTTTAAGAGGATCATATCAGGAATATCCCCAAACCCTAAACCCTAACCCTAAACCCTAAACCCTAAAGAGGGTTTTACAAGCCATCCTAGAAATTGGAGCCCTAAACCTAACCTTAAGACCCTAATCCCTATACAAACCTTAAAAGTCCGCGAGCCTTCGTTCCTACCAGCGCTTTGTAGAGTCAACGCTTTGGCATAGGTTGCAAGCTGCACAACATAAGACTCTTCACCAACTCGTTGCAGCATGAGGTTTAGGGTTTAAAGTTTGGGTAGCCTTCACAAAACCAACCGAAACTGCCGAAACCCCGAAGCCTAAACCCTAAGCCCGAATTCAGCCCTAGGCCCTAAGCCCAGAGCCTTAAGCTCCAAGCCTTAAACCCTAAACCCCAAACCCCAAACCCTAAACCCTATACCCTAAACCCCAAACCCCAAACCCCAAACCCCAAACCCTAAACCCTAAACCCTAAACCCTAAACCCTAAACCCTAAACCTTAGCAAGGCGGCACAACCTTCGGCAGCACTTCCGCTTCTTGGAGACGTCGCTGTTTCTGGAGTCGCCCCCCTTCCGGCACACAGCGGGCTACAAGAAGCGTTCGGGTGGTTTAGGGTGTAGGGTTTAGGGTTTAGGGTTTAGGGTTGCGGGAGTTTGGGAGCTTAGGGGCGTAGCTTTGTCATAGTCGGGTAACGTTGTGTACATTTTAAGGGTGCTTAAACTCAATAAGGAATAGCTAAGGGTACTTAAACTCTTCAACGAATAGTTAAGGGTACTTAAACTCAAAAAGAATTAGGGCTTCGAAGCGCTTGATCTAAAGGGCTTAGGGTTGAGGGTCCATGTACCTTATATAGTTGGGCCCCACAGGCCTTTTATAGGAAGTACTTTTAAGGCCCAAGTATGGACCCTTAGGCTTAGGGTTGAGGGTCTGGGGGGGGGGGGGGGGGTGTCAGGGTTTAAGGCTCTGGGTACGGGAGTTCAAGGTTCGGAGTTTAGGGTTTGGGAGTTTAGGGTTTAGGGCTTGGGGTTTAGGAGTTTAGGGTTTAGGTTTAGGGTGTAGGGTTCAGAAGGTTAGGAGCTTAGGAGCCTAGTGTTGAGGGGATCGGGGTTTAGAGTTGTTTCAGGGTAGGGCCTTGGCATGTTTTAAATGTCCCCTTCTTGGGCTCTTGGTAGCCCGGTGTTACCGTTTTCTCCTTTGTTGGTTCCTTATATCTTTAAATGGTTACCACGCTACCAAGGGTTTAAGAGGAGCACACCTACGAATCTCATGAATTTCGTCAGAGGGTTTAAAGGGCCAACGAACTGAAAGGTGTGTTTAGCAGCTTGGTTTCAGGGTGTGTCGTTTAGGGTTAAGGGTTCAGGGTCTAGAGTTTTGCTTTTTCAGGGGATTCGTCAGGGTTGAAAGTTTTTTCAGGCTTGAGATGTGGTGTTTAGGGCTTAGGGTGCAGGTTTAGGGTTGAAGGTTTAGGGTTTCTAGGCCCTACACATGCAATCCCTGTGTTGGAAAGAAGCATGTCCCCTGGAAATTTCCTCAAATCTGGGCTCCCTCAACCGTAAACCCCCATAGAATGCTTCGAGTTGGCTCCGGCTTGTAAAAAATTGCCTATTCGAATCACCCTCAAGCCCTACACACTAAATCCTACACCTCAATCACTGCCCTCTAAAGCCAAAACCCCTAAGCTTAAGCTCAAACTCTAACACGTAAAACCCAAACCCACCACTTCTTTCGGGTTCCGGGTTCTTACCGAGAACGGCCCAAGGAAAGGCATACGGTGATGGCGCAAGCCGACGGGCGGTTCCTGGTGCTGCGCTGCCTCTCCGACCCTTCGTGGATAAGAGTCGCGTACTTGGGGCTCGCAACCCTGATGAAACCTTCTAAGCCCTATATAACCGTAAACGCTAGACGTTGAACTCCCTGAACCATAAACCCCTTAAACCCTAAACCCCTTAAACCCCATACCCTAACATCTCAACACCCCAGCACCCGAATACCCCAATACCCTCGCACCCTATCACCCTAAAGCCCCTATCACCCTGAAGAAACCTAAACCCTAAACGCCCTAACCCTAAACTTATAAACCCTAAACCCAAAACCCTAAACCCTAAACCCTAAACCCTAAGCCCTAAACCCTAAACCCTAAACCCTAAACCCTAAACCGCATTGCAGCGTCAAATTCGGCCAGCAGGCGCCTGCAAGGCCTAGGCGGGCCAAAAGCAACCGTGGTCTAGTTGTTCAAGTAACCACAACGTGGGCGTAGGTTTCTAGCCCTAAACCCTAAACCCTAAACCCTAAACCCTAAACCCTAAACCCCAAACCCCAAACCCCAAACCCTAACTTTACAGATCTATGGGTCGTCAGATGGGCCCTTAGTATGGTCCCTTACGATGTTCTGATTTGTTGGCCCTTGGGTTGCAGGGTTCATATGAAGAGACCATGGAACTATACCCTAAGAAGAGAATCAAACGCAGAACCCTGAACCTGAAACCCCAAAAGGTTGAGTTTGGGGCCGGTTTCCCGGTCCCCTTTCCGTACAGAATTTTGGGACTCTTATCCCAATTCCCCTTTGAAGGGACTCTTATCCCATGGGACATCCCTACGTCGAACCCCTAAACCCTAAACCCGAGACCCTGAACCCTAAGCCCTTCAGAACAACCCCTATGTCTCGAACGCCGGCGAATCCCAATAGTCCTAAGAGGCTTTTCGTTTTTCGAGTCCAGGAATTGGGGGTCTAAAGGGTGTAGGGTGTTTAGGGCTTAGCAGTTTAGGTTTTAGGGGGGTTGACGGTTTGCGGCTTGAACTGCTGCTCTCACATGCTGCCGCTTCGCTTCTGCCGAACGGCGCCTGCCTTGCAACTGCTGATGTTTGTTGACTTGGTAGCCCCGTGGTACCCTTTTCCCTTTTTTTGGTTCAAGGTCCCCTTATAAGTTAAACCAACCAAAAAAGGGGTGCCCTTATTATAATATGGTTACTGGGCTACTAAGTTGATCATCAGCCGA